AATTTTACTAAGTACTTAGACTCTTCAATGCACTAAATAAGCAAGACATTTATTAGAGTCCAATTTCTTTCTAAAATTAAGTATCCTTTTGCTGTGTGAGCCATTTCTCCTGCATTTGCTTAGATTATATTTTTATCTACTGCTGCTGTTTCTTAATGGCGAGATCATCACCCTCGCTAGGACAACTGGAGGGTGGATCGCCCTAATTTTCTGGTTTCCTGTAGAGCCGGGGTGACTCCACACCAGGCGTGGCCCCACCGCACAGAGCCCTCCCGCCCCCGGCGCTAGGCGGTTGACGTAGGGCGCCTGCGTTCTTCCCTGGCTCTGATTGGTCGTCTGGTCCTCGAGCAGTCGATCATATTGGCTGTCTACACTCCCACGGACCCCGCTGATTGGCCTTCCGGCCGTTGCCGTGGAGACGCGGGCTGTTGTGGTTCCGCGCAGCTCTGGGAGCTGCGGGTTGGCCCCAGACTGCCAGCCCGCGCCAAACAAACGTGAGCCACCCGGACCCTGGCGAGCGGCTGAGCGGGGCGGCCGGGAGCGTCCCGTCCTGCGGCGCCCGATCGCCGGCTGCAGACCCCGCTGCGCCCGCTGCGAGCGCGTCTGGGCAGGCCCGGGCCAGCGTCGCCGGGCCTTCCGCGGCGCCCAGTCATGAGAAACACCAAGGAGGTGCCGGGCGCCGGGCACCGCTACGCCCCCTGCGGTGAGCGGGACGGGGCAGGGCGGAGCGGCGGAAAGGGGCACAGGGCCCTTTGACTTCTTCTGTGTAATAATTAACTATTAACTCTCCTGCTCTTTGCCTGCGGGTTAATTCAGGACCATATTGCTGGCTGCATCCTCGGGGTATTTCGTTGACCCCCCCCCCCATTTAGACCACAGCCAAGTCTGTTCCCGCTGAAGGCGCAGGGTGGATGCTGGAACGGAGAATCCGGGGTGGGGGTCGCGGCTGTTTACCCACCAGGGGTGAGCTGAGGAGGGAGCGAGGGAGACCTGAGACTCCTGGTGTTCACCTCTGTGCGTCTCGTCTCGGGAAGGGCTGTAGGTAGGGTAGAGAGGGGAGCCCAGATGGGGCCGAGTTGAAGCCCAGTACATCTGTACAGGACGGGAGCTAAACGTGGACCTTCCGCATATCCACACGCGCACTTCTAGTCCCTGGCTCTGACTGTGACCACGGCGGTGACAGGACGGCTGTGCCGGGGCCTGCGGGGTGGAGAATGAAGGGAAGGGGCCTCAGCAGTCCGAGTCCTCTCGCTTTGGGCTCTGGAAACCCGCTGGGACCTCAGGCCGCCCTAGGAAGTGGTCTCCTGCGCACGCACACTTGTGATAGACGCCCACAAGTGCCCGGCCCTGCATATGCGCTAACCACAGCCCAACCGCGCCAACCCTACACCACCCTGTGCGCCGGCACCCACGGCACAGACCAGGAGCCCGAGGCAGTAGGAGCTTGGAGTGAAGTTGTCCAAGCCCACCCAGGCACCAGGGAGCTCTACCGCCCTTACTGTCAATAGGGAGAGCTTAGGAGTAAAGACAGGGCCTGTGTCCCAGGGCCTGTGAGTGTGCAGAATGAAGCCGGTGCTTTAGGACCGGAAGAGCCGCACCGGGCTCACTTCTGCTCGCAGTGACTTGCAGCCGCTTCATCATGTGTGAGAAAGCAGGAAAGGAGAAAAGCAACAGGACAGTGTGTGACCTAGGACGGGCCATCCAGAGAGTAACAGAATTTGAGTGATAAAAGCTGTTAACCCAGTACTCTGGGAGCCTGGTGTGGAGGGCTGCAAGTTTGAGTCCTGCCTGGGTAATTTAGTGATTAATATAGGCAGATGGGGTCTCAGAAAAGGGTGGAGGGTTGTAGTCAGCGGGGAAGCCCTGCGTTCAGCCCCCACACACCCAAGGGTAAGTCTTGGCCCCTCTAAGCAGATGGTAGCGGTGACATTGCCTAGCCACTGAACCCTCGCCCTCTCTGCTGCTCCTTGGCACTTGCTCAGAAGCCTATCAGAGTTCTGTGCCTGTCCAGAGCTTCCAGTAATGAGCAGGTAGAAGATGCGCTGCTCTCTGAGGATTAATTAGTAATCAAAACACCGAGAGGAAAAACAAGCAAGCATCCAGTGCCCTCTTTCTAAAAGAGGCAGTCTTCGAGCTGAATGAGTGGAATACAAAACTACCAAACTCTCATTCTTAACTCCTAAATTGATACTCTGTGATCTTCTGTGGAATTCCTTAAACCCCGGCCAAATGTTTTGTTTTCAAAACTTCATGGAGTTAATTTAGCTAATTAATGTCCCTGAGGTACTCAAAAATGCTTTCCTACGTACCTAAAACTTTTTCCGTGTTGCGCTAGTCACACTGATGCTGCAAACCAAGCTATAGCTTAAGCAGAAGCTGCATGTTTTGGCCTTTAGCCTTAGGAGATGATGGCTTCCTGTTCCCGTGTGCATGTGGGAGTTGATTTATCCCGTACTGTTTACCTGTGCTCTGGGTAGCGTAACCAACAGGGTATTTCTCTCTATCGTCTGTGCAGAGAGATTTATTTTAAGGAACTGCCTCATGGGAATATGGGGCTGGCATGTCCAGCGTGGAGGCTGGAGTTGAGGTGTGACCTCACCCGCGGGTGACCTTCCATTGGAGACCAGCTGATGTTGCAGTTTAGGTTCAAAGTCCACCTGGAAGTAGAATGCCCTCTTCCTGCTCTTAAGTCTGGGAGCCAGCACCCGTATCATGGAGGGTATTTCAGGTTACTTTTTTCTTGTTGCTGGGACAAAGTACCCAACACCCCAAATTAAGGAAGGAAAGGTGTATTTAGCTCACAGTTTGTGGAGGTTTCAGTTCATGCTCAGCTGACTCCAAGGCAGAGTGGCACATGGCAGAGGCAGCGGCTCATGGTGGTGGAAAACAGCAAGAGCAACAGGGAAGGAGCAGCGACAGCGGCTGCAGAGGCTCCTTGTACGGCAGGCCCTTCCTTGTACTGCGTCCAGGCTGCGCGCCCCAGGGCGGGCATAACACACCCGTCACCCCAGCCTTGGATCATGAATTAATCACGACCTCTAGAAGTCTGCCCCATGACTGCATGAGGCTTTGGGGGGACATCTAGACACAGAGCACAACAGAAGGTCATCCAGTTTTCTGAAAGTCCACTGATTTCGGTGTTCTTCTTAGCCAGTAATGCCTGAATGATGTCCAGGTACCAAACAGACATGGGAAGTTTTTGCCACCACATCTACCATGAGCCGGGGATTGTGTTAGACTCTGAACATCTTACGTTTGTGACAGTTACGTTCTGACAGCTGCCGTTGGATACACTTACTGTGCCACGTGCTTTGCATCTTTTGTTTCATGGTTTGCCTTGATCTTGTTTCTCATCTCCTGTGAGGTTTTCTCTTATATTTGGCCATCTGGTTAATGAATTTCTGATGCAAAGATTTGCCTAAAGCACCTATAGTCAGAATGCCTCTATCCCTTCCGCCTGAGGATTCCACAGAAGTGGTAAAGAGCCCAAGATTCCACAGAAGCGGTAAAGAGCCCAAGCCCTAGGGCCCTGCCTGCCCCCTGGCCCTGCACAGCAGCTCCCAGCCTGGAGCTCAGTGCATCTGGCTGCCCCTTCAGGACAGAGGTTGCCAGGGACTCTCTCGGGGATTGCACCTCGATCTCCCCAAGGGAAAGTGCTGAGGAGTTTTCCTTCTGCTACACGGTCCCCTTGCTGACCCTGTCTTCAGGGACACTCGGGCCTCTGGCAAAACCCCACTGGCCTCCAGCGCTGAGGAGCCAGGCAGGGGGTGCAGGGGCAGCAGGCTCCAGGCTGGGCTTAGTGTCACTGGCAGGCAGTAGCAGGCCAGTAGTGGCTGGCGTCAACGCGGTTCCTGGCCACACCCTGGCCTGCCCGCCCTTCCTGCACAGCACGGCTGGAAAGCCTACACTATGGAGCTGTTGTTTCCTGCCAGAATGTAGGTCTCTCTTTTGGCATGCTGTGTGCATGCAGGGTGAGGCTGGGCATGGTGGGGCCCGCCTGTCACCCCAGTGCTTAGGAAGATGAGGCCAGAGGATAACTGAACTCAAGGCCTGCCTGAACTACATGGCAAGACCACCATGTCTCAAAAAAATAAAACAAAACAAATCTTGGGCAGCACCTGCGCACAGCCCACGCAGCCCACCGTTTTACTCTTGCTTTTGTAATTTTAACTTTTTATCAGTCCATGTGTACAGCACATAGTGATTGCACTCCTCGTGCCGGAGCCTGGACATGACTCGCCTTAGGCGCTTGCTGATCTCTGTCCCCCACCTGCCCCCTTCCCCCTCGCAGTTGCCCTCCCTTGTGCAAAAGATCCATCTCCCTGATTCCTACTACCTAGCTTTTATTTTGCTCTGTGTTTATGTTGTGGATTCTTATAGAAGAGAAACCATAATTTTTATTTATTTTTTTGTGGCCGGCTTAGCCCACCCTGGGGGCAGGGCTGACACAGCACGTGGTGCCAGGGATCCAACCTCGGTCACTGTCGCATTTATTTCCCTTAACATCATGGCCCCCAGATGCATCCATTTTCCTACAAATGTCCAGGTTTGTCCTGCTTTATGGCAGCGTGGTACTCCGCTGCATGTAAACATTTTCTGTATCCACTCACCTGCTGATATACGTAAGGGCCACTTCCAAGATTTATTCATGGTGTTCTAAGTGAGTCGGGATTCTTCAGCCTTCCCTATTCCCTAACAGGGCTGGAAAGACAGTTAATTCTCATTTGTACGGAGGAGAGACAGACGGACAGAGAGGTGGACAAGTACAGGGCCTGGGACACCTATCTCTCTGGAAAGCTGGGACACTGATGAAGAAGCCAGGACAGGAGGCCAGGCCTGCAGTTCCTCTGTGGCATGGGCAGCTGGTGTCCCCGTGGCCTCTGAAGACAGGGGCACCCACTGCTTAGTGTTAGGGCGCCACGTGGCAGGTGGTGAGGAGAAAGACCTTGCTCCCAAGGCTGTCCCTTGCAGCATCCTGGGTGCAGCGCAACACACCCCAGGGTGCTCTCTGCCCTCCTGCCCTCCCCCCCATGGCCCCCTGGAACCCTCTGTGACAGGCGACACCGGGGCTCTCTCCCATCCAGACTGGTATTACCACCTCCCAGCCAAGCGCTCTGAGAAGGCTGTGGGCACCCCGCCGACGTCCCAGATCCCAGGGCTCAGCAACCTGGGGGACGCACAGGACCGGAACACGCTGGGGGCCCGGAGGTACTGGATCAAGGACACGGACTCTGAGTACGTGAAGCTCGCCAAGCAGGGTGGCAGACCTGGTAAGCCCTGTGTAATCCTTGCAAGACAGACAGACAGACAGACAGACAGACAGACACACACACACACACACACACACACACACACACACACACGGGAGGGTGCTGCCAAGTGGTGCCTGCTCAGTCGCTCAGGTCACTCCCTGCAGAGACCCTTAGGGAGCTGCTGCCTTCAGGAGCTAATCTGCCTGCATCTTGGTGTCCCCTGCTTGCCGCATCTAACCCTATTTGTGTGGCTTTCCTTTTGCTCTTTCCTGGTTGTTATTGTTGTTCTGTGTCCATAATAGGAATGTTTGGGTGGTAGCGGGGATCAAACCAGGGCCTTCCACTGAGCTACACCTCCAGCCCTTTCTAAAACAAGGAGGCAGGGTCTCCCGCAGTTGCCCAGGATGGGCTTGAACTTTCAACACCCTGGCTCAGTCTCCCATAGTGCCCGGGTGACAGGCCTGCACCTCTGCGTGCTGTTTGAACTTTTTTTTTTTTTTTTTTTGTGGAACCGGGGATGAACTCAGTCCCTTGCGCTTTCCAGGGAAGCGCTTATTCCCCTGAGCCATCTCCCCGGGCTCCGACATATTTTATTTTATTTTTTAAATCATTTATTTATTTATTTATTTTGTGTGTGTGGCCAGCTCAGCCCACTAGGGGGCGGAGCTGGCTGGCATGTGGTGCTGGGGGATTGAACCGCGGTCCCTGTGCTTTGCTTAACTTAGTTTGTTCTAAGTAGGTCTTTAGACCACTGAGCCATCTCACCAGCCCCTCCAACATATTTTAAATAATGGAAACCACCAGTGTGTTTTAGTGGCAGTGATGATGAAAATTAACTTTTTTTTTAAAATTAATTAATTAATTTATTTATATATGTGTGTGTGTCTGTGTGGCCAGCTCAGCCCACCAGGGGGCGGGGCTGGCTGGCATGTGGTGCTGGGGGATTGAACCGCGGTCCCTGTGCTTTGCTTAAGCTTAGCTTGTTCTAAGTAGGTGCTTTAGACCACTGAGCCATCTCACCAGCCCCACCCGGGCCTCTTTCTCATGGAAGGAAACTGGGCCAGCATCTGCGCATTGTGTCCCTTTGGGGGCTGTGCTTGTGAGCAGGAAGAAGTTTCGAGAAGTCGCTTACCTCTAACCGAATTTACCATTTAAGACTCTCTTGGGCACCCCGGCAGGACGCCTGGCAGGTGCTGAGTAAAGTCAGGGAGTCAGATCCAAGCACTGCATCGGGCCACTGTCCTGAGGGGCCGCCATGCAGTGATTCCCGATTTGGGTCACTTGTGAAAACTTGTGCTAACACAGAGAAGTGGAAAAGATTTCCTGTCTGCAATGTGCAGCCCATTCTTGTTCTAGTAGCAATAATAATCGTCAGCTGGGCGTAGCGGAACACACCTGTGGCCCCGCCACTCAGGAGCCTGAGGCAGGAGGATCACTGTGAGTTTCAAGCCAGCCTGGGCTACATAGTGAGTTCAAGGCCAGCCTGAGCTATGTATAAGACCCTGTCTCAACAAAATAGGGGCCAGTGAAGTAGCTCAGTGGTTTAAGTGCCTGCCTGGGAAGCAGAAGGTCCTGAGTTCAATCCCTGATACAAAAAACAAAACAGAAATCAAAGAAGGCAGGTAGTCCCAGCACTCAGGAGTCTGAGGCAGGATAGCCATGAGTTCTAGGCCAGCCTGGGCCTCATAGTGAGTTCGAGGCCAGCCTGAGCTACATACAAGACCCTGTCTCAGAAAACCAAACACCAACCAACCAAGCAGACAGCAGAGGGTGATTGGGTAACAGATGTGATGTGATAACATCGGGCGAGTCCTTGTGGAGAATACAGGGGATTTCTACTTCCTGTAACTTCACTGGATGCCCAAAGTACTTAACAATAAAACTGCCTTCAAGTTTCAAATGCCTGCCCGGAGCCCCAGAGGGCTGAAGCAGGAGAACTGCAGTGGAAGCCCAGCCTGGGAAGTTTGCGATTTAGGTAGAGCCCATCACAAAATGTAAGAAAAGGCTGAGGGTGTAGCTCAGTCCAAAGGCTTCCGTCTCCAGGATGGCTAAATAAATAAGTAAATAAATAGTTTTAAAATGGAAAGCTAAGCATGTCTCATTGCAAGTAATAAATCAATCAGTGGAAGTTTTCTGGCATGCTTCGGCATGGCTGTTGTCCCCATTCAACTGCAAAACCAGTTCTTCTGCTCCCTCTTGGCCCCAGGGGAGGGGATAAGGGACTGAGGCAGAGGCAGAAGCAGGTAGGCAGCTCAGGTGAGCTGGGAGCAGCCAGGCCTCTGAGAACAAGCCCAGGCTCTATGCTACTCAAATTGGCTGCAAAGTGACTAGTAGACCTCCCAGTGACTCTCCCTGGAAATCTTGAGGGGAAGGTTGTGTTGGAAACAGCTATGTGGGTCAGAGACAGCCGCTCACGGAGGAGGACGGGGGAGGGGAGGAGGAAGGGGAAGAAGAGGGTCTGGGGGAAGGGTCTGGCTAGGGGATGCCCGAGGAAGGGGCCAGGGGCTGAGCCCTGGGCAGGAAGTGATGATGTGGCCCTGCAGAGAGGGGCTTTGCCCTTCTCCACAGCAGAGCAGGGTGGGGGCAGTTGTTGCTGCCTGCCTGAGAGGCAGGTGACGGCCACCCACAGGCAGCCCAGGAATGCAGCCCAGCCGCCTCCCCTCCTGGAGTTTCCTGCCGGGGGCTGCAGCTCACCCAGCCGCCCTGTGTGTCTCTCTTCTCTGGAGATTTGCTGAAGCACCTTGCATCTGGGAGCAGGAAGGGCTCCCCGGTGGCCTACGCCCTGCCGGACTGGTACACCCACCACAGCAAGCCGCCCACCGCCAGCCAGCGCCCGTGAGTACCTGGAAGCACACACGCTCTGTCACCTTCCTCGCAATCGAACCTCCCAGGGTGATCTTGAGTGGCACAGGTGTCTAGCACTAGTTGCAAAGCGTGTGATGTTACAGGTCGGGGTGCTGTTGCACAGTGTACAGCTTTCTGGGGGATGTGATAAGAGTTCGTGGCTGAACCAGATGCAGGACCGTGGAGCACTGTGGCCTGCCTCCAGGTGCAGCCACCTGTGCCTGTGGGCCACATGTCACGAACAGGGATGCTTTATCCCCCGGGATACAACCTGGCAACAGCAGCTGGTCCCCAAGCTTTCTTCTCATTAAGGATGAAAGGTAGAAATCCTAGCTAGAGAGACAGGCATCCCAGAGCTTTGTGATGGACCTGGGGTCCCCACGAAGCTTTGGTGTCTGTGTGTGACCACGCAGCCCTGACCACGCAGCCTTGGCTTTCTGTACCACCTTGCTTGGCCAAAGAAGAAAATGGGAGGAGCCATTTTTGTCTGCTGTCTGTTTTTGTTCCCGGTTTTGGTTTTTGCTTGGATGATGGGACAGCGAGGGGCGGCTTACCAGGACGTTAGTAGGTGTCCCTCAGCTGCCCTGCCGGTGGTCACACTGGGTTTTGCCATTAGAATTCTGCTTCCCCCAGCCTTTTGTTTTTAACAAGAAAAGACGCAAAATGTATTACATGGCTGAGGCTCTCGAGTGTTAGATTTCTCTCCTAAACGAATGGTTTACCTGCCTGACAGGCGAAAGGCCCTGGTCCTGGGCACTGCATATGAACACCTACACACACTGACACACTTGCAAACACACCTCACACAGTGACACACACACCAACACACACATACACCCTGAAGCACATCGACACAAACACCCCTACTCTCACACATGGACACCCAGAGCTTTCAGTCCTAAGTAAAGAAAAGGAATGTGGTACGATGAAAGTGACCCCCTGGAGGAGCAGCCCCTGGCCGTGACCTCCCCCAGGCATGTGGTTCTTAGGGGAAAACCAGCTGGAAGTCGAAATACCCACACGACCAGGGACCACTTATCAGGAGACAGAACGGGCTGTTATTTTCAGTGGCCATGCTCTGTGGTAATAACTGTTTAGAGCTGTGTCTTTTTTTTTTTTATGGTGGTACCGGGGATTGAACTCAGGACCTTGTGCTTGCCAGGCAAGTGCTTATTCTACTGAGCTATCTCTTTAAAGGGGGCCAGGTGAGTGGGTGCAAGTGTAAAGGGAATGACTGCCGAGTTCTGCTCAGGTTCTGCTCAGCATAAGTCAGAGGGCCCTGGGGGAGAGCTGAGTGACTAAGACCCTTGCAGGGCATTCAAGGGAGCAAGGACAAGGTGTTAGGTGTGATCCTGTGCCTGCAGGGTGCCTGCCGTGTCCATGCCAGACTACATGGTGTACGAAGAGTTCCACCCCAGCCAGGCCAACGGGAGCTACGAGTCCAGAAGGGGCCCCTTCGATTTCGACATGAAAACGGTTTGGCAGAGAGAGGCCGAAGAGCTTGAGGACAGAAAGAAGGTGACAGCTCCTAGATGGTGGCGCCTCTCAGTGCCATGCTTCCCCTGGGGGTGCAGGTCAGCTGGCCTGGGGTCACACACACGCTGTTGGCTCAAGGCTTGTTCTATTTGACCAAAGGATGAGCAGCGGAGACCCTGAGGCCTCCCCCTTTTTTTCCTATGAATATGGACGTTATAGGTAAACTTACTTCTTTACTAAGCGGTTTTTAATCCATTAATGTTTGTCGTGGGGTAAACTGGCATACTGCTTCTCCTCTGGTACACAGGAGAAGGACATGTTATATTTGTATACTGTTTTGCTTTCAAACACTTCTATTTCGTTGAAGACTTTACAATGAAATCTCCCTGGACTGCTCCTGCCTGCTAATAAACGAAGCAGAATTCTTTTCTTCTGCACAGATGAGAAGAGCCATATTTGACCTTGAAGAAGGGATGAGCCATAAGGAAAGTCTTCTTCCCAGTCTTGCAGTTTTAAAAAGCTGCCAGAAACTGGAGAGCAATCCTGATTGGTGGGTGGGTTGTTGAGATCAACTCTGATTGGTAGATGGGATTGGGGCTCAATCACGATTGGTGGTTGGCTTCCTGTGCTCAATCCTGATTGGTGGATGGGTTTTCCGGCTCTCCTGATTAGAATCCCTTCTCATCTTTTCCTGTGAACTTGAGGTTTCCAGGGACCACCAGCTCCAGGTCGGAGGTGCATCTTAGTGCCAGGAACATTGAGATTTGTGAGTGGAATGATAACATGTGCATTAAAAATCGGGATGTCAAGGGCCGGCCAGATAGCTCAGCGGACTAGCACGCCTACTTAGGTGGAGCTCAGTGGCTGGGGTTTGACCCCTGGGCATGCCATGCCCTGTCCCCGGGGCACACTGAGATGGCACTTGAGGCTGGACATGGTGGCGCGCACCTGTAATCCCAGCGCTTGGGAGGCTGAAAACAGGAGAAACACTACGAGTATGATCCGTGAGACCCTGTAGACCCTGCAGACCCTATACCAAATACATTAAAAAATAATAATAATAATAATCCCGATGTCAGTTTGATGCTGAGCCCAGGGTGAGCCTGCTTTCACTTGAATGGTGAGGATTCTGGTTGTGTCCCAGGCCAGGCTTCTCAGTGTCACACTGGAGTGAAGGGACCTTAAGCTGACTTAGGGAGTAGTATCCCTTGGCTGCCGCAAGGTTCTGTCCTTCGTGTCCGACTGTGGTCCTGGCTTTGGGTCATTTGGATGGCCACTGCAGATGGACTTTGTGAGGGATTGGGCCCGCTGCCCAGGGATGGGCCATCGGCCAACATGGTTGCTCCGAGGCCCCAAGCAGCACAGGGCCTCACTGGCCAGGTTCCGGCACGCCAGAGGAGCACGTGAGCCTTGCAGGCCCGTGCGTGTGCTGCTCTGACCCGGGTTCATGTGTTTTCATGCAGGTGCGGCTGCCAGCCATTAACTCAAAGCATCTAAGCAAAGTGGGTACGCCACTGGGCCCCAGAGACCCCGCTGGCAGCAGGCTGTCCTTCCCGCCCATGTAAGTCCTCGAGCCGTGCGGCCGCTCTCCGCTCAGGTTTAAGGTCCATCTTCTGGGTCTCAAGCCCGTGGCTGTGGGACTGGAGGGTGTAGCCAGGGCTTCTTGCTGTGCTGTACTCCAGCTCTTTTTAAAATTTTTAATTTTGAGACAGTCCATTAAGTTGCCCAGGCTGAGCTAGAACGTGCCATCCTCGTGCCTTCAGCGTCCTTGCGTGCTGGGAGTGCAGGCCACACCACCGGCCTAACTTGTTCCTTCCTGGCTGTGGTTTTGCCGTGTGAGCAGGGCTTGTGTTTCGCCTTTGGGGTCCTGTGTGCCGTGCAGCAGCCTTCTGCTTTGTGGCCACCTGTCCTGCGCAGTCCTGCTGCCTGGGCCTGACATTTTCTGTCACTAGCCCCGAAGCCAGGTTTGCGCTCATGTCCACACTCAGCTGAAAGGCTGTCAGGTGCGCTAACATTTGCTGTACTGCAGCCAGGTGAAACCCTTGAGGCCTCTTGTCTCCTGACTTTCGCAGAATTCTGGTTGGGTACTAGAATAAATGCCATTTGCCCAACTCTTCAGGGAGTTTCTCATGCCAGGGGCTGGGGAAAGTACTTAGACCAAAGATGCTGAGACAGCCGTAACTCAGACTGGCAGGAGGGAGAGGAGATGGAGAGAGAGAGCCATTAAGCACCCTTTACAGTGCAAGCTGGTAATCCCAGCACTCAGGAAGCTGAGACAGGTGGATCAGAGCAAGTTCAAGGCCAGCCTGGGCTCTATGGTGAGACCCTGTCTCAAAAACAAAAACAAAAACAGACAAAAACATGACATCAGCCATAACAAGTCAGAAATCAGTTGAACCGTATCTGTAACCCCAGCACGGTGGCAGGCTGAAGCAGGAAGGGTCGGCTCTTGAAATAAAAGATAGGGCTGGGGAGATAGCTCAGAAGAATAAGCGCTTGCCTGGCAGGCACAGGGCCCTGAGTTCAATTCCCGGTACCGCAAAAAAAAAAAAAAAAAAGAAAGAAAAAAGAAATAAAAGATAAATAGGGCTGAGATGTAGCTCAGTGTGGAGGCTTTGGTTCAACCCCTAGGAACAAGAGAGAGGGAGAGAGTGAGCACAGTACGTGCTTCCTTCCTAGCTTTTAGCAGGAGCTGCGTGCTTCTCCTGTGTTCCCTCCCTGAGCGCGGTTCTGGCTCCTCACTGACCATTGGACCCAAGCTTAGAATTCATCTTTCTCTCTTTGAGGCCGGGTCAGAAAACCAGTTCCCCAACCAACTTCTCCAAACTCATCAGCAATGGTTACAAGGATGAGTGGTTACAGCAGCACCAGCGAGCCGATTCTGATAAGAAGACCCGAAAGGCATCCAGGGCGTTGGTGTCATCCCAGCCCACACAAGACGACAAGGGGCCCCAGGATGCAAACTCACCACAGGACACAGAGTCTCCGCAGGACACCCAAGCTCCGGAAGTCTCCGACAGAGCTGAAGGTGAGGCGTGCCCTGCCATCCCTGTGTCCCTGTCTCATGGTTTTGGTTCATTATGATGGCAGCAGGTAGCTGTCTTATGTCTCTATGTATCTCATGAAGAGAAATGCACAGCCGGGCGTGGCGGATCACAGCCCTCTGGGAGGCTGAGGCAGAAGCACGGCGGATTCCAGTACTGCCCAGCAACTTAGCAAGGCCCATCTCAAAACAAATTTTTCTTCAATGAAAAGGGCGAGGGATGTAGCTCAGTGTGACAGCCGTGGCTTTACTCCCTAGGACAGGAAAAATGTTTTGTTAGAGAAACCACAGAAGTATTAAGGTCACAGGGAACTACGAAGATAACGTGTTCGTTGTTCTTTCCTCGGTCTCTGGGGCTTCTCGCTGTGTTTGTCACAGTGTTGGTCTTCCCTTTGGTGTGGTGACCACAGTAACAAGGCCAGGTCAGATTTGTTCCCCATCCAGCAGAACGCAGCACGTGCAGTATGCCGCACGTCTTGTGGTGTTCACACGTGCAAGCTCCCGCCTCAGCCGGGGACTCACTGTACACCAGGTGACAGCGGCTTCAGTACTCTGGATCTAGAGAGCCCTGACTCCACCAGATGGGCTCTGGCCTGCGCTAAAGGCGAGCTCCTTCATAAAAAGTCTCCTTTGCTACCCCTGCACCCCCCCCAAGGAACTCAACGCTCAAGCTTGCACCTGCGCCATTATCTGTACTTCTTACATGTTGGATAATTTGCAGCTCTCCGCAATTACATTTTCCAGTTACTACATGATTTTTATTTTTTACAGTCACTGAAAGAATTACTCTCATTTCTTTTTTTTTTTTGGCGGAACCTGGGATTGAACTGAGGCCCTTGGGAGGCGCTTATTCCACTGAGCCATCTCCCTGGCCCCTCTTATTTCTTTTTGGATGCAGACATCTGCTTCCTTTTTTTTTAATTTTATTTATTTGTGTGTGTGTGTGTGTGTGTGTGTGTGTGTGTGTGTGGCCAGCTCAGCCCACCAGGGGGCGGCGCTGGCTGGCATGTGGTGCTGGGGGATTGAACCGCGGTCCCTGTGATTTGCAAAGCTTGTTTTAAATAGGTGCTTTAGACCACTGAGCCATCTCACCAGCCCCACTGCTTCCTGATTGAATGCTCTTGTTAGTAGCCATAGCTCCATTAATTACTGGTCATTTGCCCCAGGGCAAATTATTTTAATCTTGGGGCTTCCTTCTTATGATGAAAGGGGAAGAAAACATCAAGTCTCCTCAGAGAACTGAAGTGCCTGATGTGGTTGTGTGTACATGTGTGCATACGTGTGTGAGTACGCGCATGCCTCTGTGTGCATTTGTGTAGATGTGTGCATGTAGGTGTATGCATGTGTGTGCACATGCATGCCTCTGTGCATGAGTGTGCATGTGTATGTGTGTGTGTGCATGCACAAATCTGCTTGGCTGTCCACATCTGGCTTCTTGCCACACTGTTGGGTTGACATCTGCGTGTCAGGCCAGCTCTCCTGTGTCCTCGTGGAGGAGGTAGGTGACTAAGCTCACAGCCAAGTGGCCAGAACCTGCCCTTGAAACCTGACAGAGTTGATGGTGTGGGATGACCTACTGTTGTCTTAAGTGATGCAGACTTTTGACTATCTATGAATCATTTCAATACGTGGTCTGTTCTGAGGAGTGAAAATCAGATGCACCTATTCCCTGTTAGCGTCTTCTCTGAGTATCTGTAGAGAAACCTGAATTGGAATATGAAATGAGTTTGACACACTGAAGTACCAGTGGGTGTATGTGAGTCTTTCCTCCCCGCACTCCGCACGCGCCGACCCCCTCGCCCTCGCCCCTCCTGCAGCAGCGCTGGAGCTCTCTGGCCTCTGGGTCTTTGGTCGCACTGTCATGACCTCCTCGATGTCCTGAGCTGATTCACAGTATTGCCCTTTCGTGGTCGTGCTGACTCTGGGGAGGAGCCAGAAGTCTCACGGTGCCCGATCCAGTGAATGAGGGGGCGAGTGCACGCGTGGTGCGGGTGGATGCCGCCCAGTGCCAACATTCACTATAATTTTGATCACACTTCATAAAGACACCAAAGAGGATTTCCAGAACTGCTTCAGAAATGGCAAGAACAATAGGATTAGGTGTGTTCCAAGTAACAGAACATTATGAAGGGGATTAACGGCATGTGTCTTTCACTACTCTAGTTTTTAAAATTAAACAGCTGCCATGTGTTTCTGTTGTCCCCTTACACTTTGACCACTATCTCCTGTTCCGGGAAGCACTTAATCCACTGAGCCATCTACCCGGCCCCACTACCTCCTATTCCGTCAGCTGCCGTCCCTCGCTGCACCCCCCGGCCCTGCGAGCCGCTACCCTACATTCTGTGACTTTGACTTGCAGTCCCGCACACGAGTGAGATCCTGAGGGACTTGTCTCTGTGCCTGGCTCCTTTAGCATCATGTCCTTCATGTTCTGCCATGTGGTCACAAGTGACCGACTTTCCGTGGTGACACAGTGACCCATCGCATCGATAAGCCTCCTTTCCTTTGTCTCTTCACCTACAGTGGCCACTCAACTGTTGGTTCTGTGGCGTGGCTTTTGTGAAAACTGCCGCAGCGGCACACACACCAGGTGCCCCTGATTGCAGTTTCCAGGATGGCTGGCGACGGAGCAGGCGCCCTTTTGGTTTCCCAGGAGCCTCCCTCTGCTTCCTGTCCTGGGTGTACTCACTTAGGTTCCCACCAGCAGCGCACAGAGCTTTTCATTCCCCCACATCCACCCTCGTTCTTCTCCCACCTCTTAGAAAATGCCCCTCATAGGGCTGGCCAGATAGCTAGCAGATTAAAGCACCTGCTTAGGCAGACACAGGGACCGGGTTCGACACAGCCCCCCCCCCCCCCCCCGGGGCTTATGAACTGGCTATTGAGACTGGGCGTGGTGGCGTGCCTGTAATCCCAAAGTTTGGGAGGTTGGAAACAGGAAGAGCACTATGAGTCTGATCTACATAGTGAGGCCCTGTAGACCCTGTACTAAAATACACTGAAAAAAAAAGGGGGGGGCGGGGAGATGGCTCAGTGGAATAAGTGCTTCCCTGGCAAGCTCAAGGGCCCTCAATTCAATCCCCAGTTCCAAAAAAGAAAAAAGAAAGAAAAATTAAATACCCGTCACGGCCCATGTGAGTTGGCTACTCTGTGAGTGTTTGCGCTGCGTCTCTGTGATGGTCCGCCCTGCTGAGCTTCGGCCCATGTCCCTGTCGGCCCCATGTGTGTCTGCTTTTGAAGGCTGTCTACTTAGGTCATCCATTCTTTTTTTTTTTTTTTTTGTGGAACCGGGGATTGAACTCAGGCCCTTGCCCTTGCCAGGGAAGCACTTATTCTACTGAGCCATCTTCCCGGCCCCACTTTTTATTCTTTTGGATATGCGTATTCATTTTCCACATTTAGTGGACAGACCATCCTTTCGCTACTGTATACTCTTGCGAAAACCTGGTGTCTATAAAAGCGTGGGTTTGTGTCTGCTCTGTAGTGTGCCGTGCTCTACGCATCTGCTTTGCGCCAGTGCCGTGCTGTTTTGATTACTGTGCTTTCGTAATACATTTTTGCACTGGAGTATCATGATGCCTCTAGGTCTGTTCATTTTGCCCACCATTCAGAGTCTTTTATGACTCTATATAATTTTTTTACCTTTTTTTGGTGCTGGGCATCCAACTCAGGATCTTGCACTTGCCAGGCAGGCATTCATGCTCCTGAGCTATCTCCCTGGAACTGTATAAATTTTAGATTTTTTTTCTATGTCTGTGAAAAGTGTCATTGGAATTTTTGTAGAAACTGCAGATATTAAATCTGTAGGAAAAAAAATTTTAAATAAATAAATAAATCTGTAGATGTCCTGGGTAGAGCATGGACATTTTAACAGTATCATTTCTTTTTTTTTCTTTTTACGGAACTGGGGATTGAACTCAGGTCCTTGCGCTTGCCAGGGAAGCGCTTATTCCACTGAGCCATCTCCCCGGCCCCAAGAGTATCACTTCTTGCAAGCCATGAACATGGATACCTTTCTATATACTCATGTGCTCTTCATTTTCTCTGATTATTTACTTTTAATTTTTTTTTTTTTTTTTCTTGGCGGAACCTGGGATTGAACTCAGGCCCTTGTGCTTGCCAGAGAAGTGCTTATTCCATGGAGCCATCTCCCTGGCCTCACTTTTAATATTTTTAATCCTACTGAGAATATATTTTTTTTGTTAAGTTTTTTTTTTCAGTACTTCATTGTTTTTGGTTTTTGGCCTTTATTTTTTGAGTTAATTAAAACTTAAAACTGTTTTGTGAATGTACAGAATGCTGCTGACTTTTGCACGGTAATCTTGTCTTCTGCAATTTTCCTGTATTTTTTGATCTGGACTAAGAATTTCTTGATGCGCTTATTGCGGCTTTCTGTGTACAAGGCTGTGTTGTCTGCAGAGAGGGTTTACTCCCAGTCGGGGTGAGTTTTACCCCTCCCTCTTGCCTGCCCGCTCTGGCTAGGACCTGTGCTGCTGTGCTGAAGAGAGGCCTGGCTGTGCTCACTCGTGTACTCCCGCCCCTCCTGGGCATCCTCCCCGCGGACAGCACCGCGCCTGGTGCTGCCTGTGTACCTGGCCACGCAGCCTCCATGTGCTGCGGTGTGTCACATCCGTGATCCACTTGGGAGCTTGCGTCAGGAAAGGATGTTGGGTTTTATCAGATTTGAGGTGGTTAAATATTTTTCTTTCCATAGATATATGGCTTTTGTCTTTCATTCTGTTAACTTGGTGGATCACATTTATTGCTTTGTGTGTATTAAATCATTTTTTGCACACTAAGGATACATCCCACTTGATCATGGTACATGATTCCCATGGTGTACGTATTTTTGAGTTGGGTTTATTTTTTTCATTTATTTATTTAGTCTGTTCACCAGGTAAATTGGCCTGACGTTTTCGTTCCTCATAGTGTCTTTGCCTGGCTTCAGGAGGAGGGTCGTGCTGGCCTCCGCCAGTGCGTCTGGAGGTGTTTGCAGGGCGAGTTTGGAAATGACTTTTGCCAGCGCTCCCTTGCATGCCTGGCAGTGCCCACAGCGAGGCGCTCTGGTCCTTTCTGTGATGGAGATTGTCATTATAGATAAAAAAGCATGTTGTCTCCTTACTCTTTTTTTTTTTTTTGTGGCCACTCAGCTGCACTGGGGGCGGGGCTGGCGTGCCATGTGGTGCCAGGAATTGAACTACCGTCCCTGTGCTTGCCTAGGCTTGCCTAAGCAGGCGCTTTAGACCGCGGAGCTATCTCTCCAGCCCTTCCTACTCATTATTGGCCTGGTCAGGTTTCCCATTCCTTCGTGATTCAGCCTCAATAGACTGTGTGTTTACAGGACTTCCTCCATTTCTTCTAGTTCAGCCTCTTTGTTGGTTCACGAGTAATTTCTTAAAATTCTCTGCATTTCTGTGGCATCAACGTAGTATCTTTCTTGTGTCTGTTTTTCCCTCAGTATAGCGGAATATATTCCAATTTTATTGCTTTACAAAGCCCAACCACCTCTTAGTTCGTTGATCTTTCCTTGCTTCCTGTCTTCGCCTATATTTTATTCATTCCTGTCGGATCCTTATTTCTTTACCTCTGCTAAGTGCTCTAAGGTCCAGACCAGCCATTCTTAGGATCTTCATTTTAAAAATCCCAAACAGCAGGTACAGAGCTCCGCTGCCGAGGACGGTTGCAGGCTTCAGAGTTGGGTTCTGCGTGGTCTCAAGCAGATGGGCTTTAACCCACACCACCAATGGGAGGAGTTTAATCAAGAGCCTTTCACCTAGCAGTGGTGTGAGCGGATAAATTCTCTGCGAGGAACCACACCATTCCTGGGACTTTACCCAAAGCGTCTCCGCTAGCCACGAGGCCTGCTTCACTCCACAGCGGCATTTAATCATCCAGAACGGATGCCACGCCGGACCACAGCGCCGCCGCCCGCCAGGTTCCGCCGCAGGAGCCGGGAGCCTGGCTCCGCCCGCCCGTCCTCGGCTGCTTTTTCTCCCCGCCCTCCCACCACCTCCTCTCCCACCTCTCATTTTCCTCTCTGTTCCCGAGTTCTCCACTGCTTGGGGGCTTAAGCTCTGTAGCCAGCTGTGGCTAAGCCAGACGCGCAAACCCTTGCCTTGGGCCTGTCTCCAGGACTTCCCGGCGTCAGGCGCTCTTGTTAGCGTGGCTTTCCTTGCGGCAGAGCTGCGGTCACTTACTGCTGCGCTGCGCAGGTCTCCTCCAAGGAGTGAGAGCCAGACACTGGCGTCGGGTCCGGGCTTCTCCAGGGACACATGCGAGGACCGCGGGTGCGGTGACGGCCGCGCCCAGCAGGGTCTCACTCGGCTGGAGACCTTGGGGACTCGGGCAGAATGACAGCTGCAGCAGTGCTCCGCTCAGGTCCCTGGCGCGGAACCGGTCACCAAGGGCAGCGTGGCTCAGGGACCAGAGTGTCCCCATAGGGCAGTCCACACCTGGGGACTGTCTCTCACGTAGGACGTGTGCTGAGAGGCGTGACTGGAATCTTTTCTTTTTCCTTTCAACACTAGGTATTAAACTTACGGCCTTTGCACTGAGCCACATCCTCCATCCCCTCCCCCTTTTTAAAATCCCCCCCTTTTTTAAAAATTATTACTTTTTTTTTTTTTTTTTTTTCCGGAACCGGGGATTGAACTCATGCTCTTGCGCTTGCCAGGGAAGCGCTTATTCTACTGAGCCATCTCCCCGGCCCCTGTAATTCTTATTTTTAGCTTTGATACAGCTCTCACCCAGTCACTAACTTACCCAGGCTGGGCTCAAACCTGCAGTCCTTCTGCCTCAGCCTCCCAGAGCACTGGGATTACCAGGGTGTGCCGCCGCCGCCACCACCACCCCTCGCCAGGTGGACGCTCAGTTTTTATGTAGACATCAAATTTGAACCTAAGAACAGGGGGCTGGTGAGATGGCTCAGTGGTCTAAAGCACCTACTTAGAACAAGCTTAGCAAAGCAGAGGGACCGGGGTTCAATCCCCCAGCACCACATGCCCGCCCCCTGGTGGGCTGAGCTGGCCACACACACAAATAAATAAAATTAAAAAAAAAAAAAAAAAAACCTAAGAACAGGAGCCAAAATAGGTGCTTTCTTTACTGGTGATGAGCAGGTCTGCTTTGTGATTTGTATAGAGCGCCGCCTTTATCTGCCTCCCGTGCATTGCAGGGACAGAAGCCTCTCCGCCTACACCGACACCGGCAGAGCTGAAGTAAACCTGGTGTAACCTTCGGATCACTGTCCCGGGAGCCCACGGCGAGCGGACTGTCACCGCTGCATTTCCGCGGCCTTTGATGAACAGAGCCCGTGAAGGATCAATGCACCGTGCCGCAGACTGGATGTCACTATGCGGGGCTGCGGTGGCGCCCGCCTCTCCTCCAGCAGAGATCATTTTTCTGTCACAAGGGGGAATTAATTTTAGAATATGGAGCTGCAGCTTATATATAAAAGGCTTTTATTAGGACTTAAAGTTTTAAAGATTTAATACACAATAAAACATTGCAACATTTGTTAGCTTAAAATTTTTTGCCAATACTTTGTAAAGTCCAGACTATTAAACATTCATTTGGTGTCCTTTTGGTAAAAATATATTTAATTTTTGTACTTGATTTAGTAGTCTCTTTTAAAAAAAGTTTTAATAGATTGAATAGTCTTGTTTTATAAAGTTTATTATAGTTTCTATATAACCACTTTGTCTTCCCTGTAGTTTTATATTTGTTTAATGCATTAATAAAATAATTTTTGGGGCCTGGGAGATGGCTCAGTGGAATAAGTGCTTCCCTGGCAAGAGCAAGGGCCTGAGTTCAATCCCCGGTTCCGAAAAATAAAATGAAATAATTTTTAACAAGGAGCTTTTAGGAAGACAAATACGACACAGATGTTTTAGCCTCTAATTTATCATGCACGCACTGAACTAAAATTTAAGTTTCAAGCGAGTTCTTTAACTGGGATCCTTAACTGAGCACTTACAGATGGATCACACTTAACTGTCACAGGAGGATGGACACAGGGTGTAATTAATCTGAATGGCTGTCTGAATTGAATAAGAGCAGAACGTGGATACAGTAAGTCTTTTCCTCTTTCCTCCTTACCCCTGCATTTCTTCTTCTGCGCAACTCCAACCTCAGCTGTCAACAACCCGGTCATGAATAAAAAAATTACTGAAGAATGTATATAGTATTGTAGAACTCTTTAATTTCGCCCCCTGGTTATCCTAGTAACAGAAACCTGTGGCTGTTGGAACAGAGGACATTGAACAGGAAGAACCAGTGATTGGATCCTGGCCTCACCTGGTTTAGCCAGGTGTGTTATTGAAAAAAATCTGGGGCCGGGGAGATGGCTCAGTAGAATAAGCGCTTGCCTGGCAAGCGAAAGGGTCTGAGTTCAAATCCCTGGTTCCACAAAAAAAAAAAAAAAAACAAAATCTGTCCCCTAGTTTACTTCCTGGTTGGCAAAATGCAGCGAACAGATTGTGAAAGCAGAAAACTTACAGTGTGATCTAACTTGCTTTCTCTTTCTTTATTTTTATTTATTTTTATTTTTTGGTGGAACTGGGGATTGAACTCAGACCCTTGCGCTTGCCGGGGAAGCGCTTATCCTACTGAGCCATCTCCCCAGTCCCCTCTTTATTTTAAATAACAATTCTGAAAAGTAAAAACAGTGCAAGATCATAGTAAATATAAATCATCTGTTAAAAGCAGTTTTTGTTTTGTTTTGCGGTACCAGGGATTGAAGTCAGGACCCTGAGCTTCCAGGCAAGCACCTGTTCTACTGAGATATCTCCCCAGGCCCAAAAGCAGTAGATTTTTTAAAATGACGGCATTTGTGCATACACCAGGATGTGTTCATGGGTGTGTCACACACATGTGCACGCACAGGACACGCACACACACACTCCCTTCAAGCAGTCTGACACTTCCATGGGAGGCATTCGGCCCCCTTAGTTCATCCCTGAATTAGCATAGTTGAAAGAAGGGTGGGGACACACCTATAATATTCAACAACGGAACTTAAAAAAAAATTGGGGTATAACTATGAATGTCCATTTTGTATCTGTGTATTCAAAGTGGTTGGGATAGATATATAGTTGCATTCTCTTAATGAATAGAATGATTTTTTCTAATGGTGTTTGTAAGTAGGATCACAAGTCTGCATCTTGTACAGCAATTAACCACTAAGAAGAATATATGCAGTGTATTATTTGTTGAAACTGTACTTTCGATTTGATTTGAAACTGTCTCATTGCTATATGTTTATCAATAAAACTTTGAAAAGAAAAAGAAAAAAAAAAAAAGAAGGGTGGGGAGCAGCGAATCTATTGTGAGCCCCATTTCCTCCCTTAGAAGGTGCGAGGAGGAGAAGGGCCCCGGGGAGGAGACTCTGAGCCCCGGCCCGGCCTCGCACCTACAGGACCGAGCCTGCAGGACCCAGCGCAGCGCAGGCCCCGGGCTCCATTCCGCCTCCTCAAATCGCATCCTCCCCGCGCATCAGAAAGCAGCGAGTTCTCCAAGGCGCTGAGGGAGAAACCCGTTCCCTGGATGGCTGCCAGAGGCAGAAGCGCAGGGAGAAGGCCCAGCTCACCCCTGAGGCCCGAGACCTAACGCGGAAGCCAGGTGCAGACCTTGGAGGAGCAGGAGAGATCCAGACCAGCGCACACCAGCGCACACGCATGCATCTCCCCCCAGCCCCCAGCCCCCCACCCAGAACATCTACAAAGATTTCAGGCCAACGCAATAAATATTATGAGAACCGACGATCTTCTGCTAAACCCGGGAGCGAAGCAAGGTTGTGTCCTTATATCGCTGCTTTTCAGAGCCATCCGGAAGCCCTCGGTAATGGAACACGGGAAGAAATGAAAGGCAAGGAGGGAGCTAGCTCAGCAGAATCAGCGCCTGGCAAGTGCAAGGTCCTGAGTTCAATCTCCAGTACTGCAAAAAAAAAAAAAAAAAAAAAAAGGCAAGGAGCCCGGGAAGTGCGATGTGTGAGGGTCCGCAGGTCACCCCAGTACGCCTACGGAAGTGGAGCCCACGTGCTGGTGCTGGGAGGCCGGGCGTCTGGACCGTGACGGGGCTGAGGTCTCCCGAATGGGATTTGAGTCTTTATACAGAGACCCCAAGAGCGGCGCACGCCTGTAATCCCAGCACTCGGGAGGTTGTGGTCGGAGGATTACTGTTAGTTCGAGGTCAGCCTGGGCTACATGGTGAGTTCAAGGCCAGCCTGAACTGCTTAGCAAGACCCTGCCTCACACACACACACACACACACACACACACACACACACACACACACAGCCCAGGGTGCCTGCTCATGTCTCCCAGCTCAGCAGACCTCAGCCAGGGGGCTGAATCCATGAACCAGCAAGTGACCCTGGACACCTGGACCTGCAGAACTTGCGACATTCCAGACTGAAGAAATAAACTATGGTGTCTAGGAGTTACCCAGGTTATGGAATTTTGTTAAAGCAGCATGAATGGATTAAGATAAATAGGAAAGAAGAAATCAAATTATCATTGTCCCCAGGTTATAGATTATTTTCTATAGATTATTCTATGATAATCTATAGAAAATCAACTGACAAAAAAAGAAACAAAACTCTTAGAGCTAGAGACCAATTATAGCGAGGTTGCAGAATATAGAACCAACATAAAAAACACAAAGCTAACATAAAGTTAATATGTGATGTATTTGTCTAATTTCAAAACTAGGGGCTGGTGAGATGGCTCAGTGGTCTAAAGCACCTACTTAGAACAAGCTTAGCAAAGCACAGGGACCACAGTTCGATCGCCCAGGATCACATGCCAGCCAGTCCCGCCCCCTGGTGGGCTAAGCTGGCCACACACACACACACACACACACACATAAAAATTTTTTTAAAAAATTAAAAAAGAAACTAATATACAAGGTTGCAGAATACAAAGCTAATATGCTTTCCTATGTACCGAAAACCAAATGAACAAGTACAATTTAGAATTTAACCATGGTACTATATACAATAGCAGCCTAAAAATGAAATTTTTAGGTGTAAGTCTTAACAAAATATGTACAGGATCATATCAGGAAAACTGCACTATTCTGATGAGAGAAATTGAAGTGGAGCTAAATAAATGGAAAGATACTCCATGTTCATGAGAGAGATGTTGATAGAAAATAGGACCAACAGGGGCCGGGGAGATGGCTCAGTAGAATAAGTGCTTGCCTGACAAGCGCAAGGGTCTGAGTTCAATCCCCAGTTCCACAAAAACAACAACAACAAAAAACAACAGGGCCAACAAGCGCAGGGTCCTGAGTTCAATCCCCAGTACCGGAAAAAAAATAAAATAGGGCCAAGATGTCAGCTTTTTCAATTTCATCTGTGGATCCAATGAAACCCCCATAATACTGTGGCTAGTTATTCTGTGGATATCAACAAAGCGATTAATGAGAGATACAGGGCTCTGTTCTTTTTTGTGTGGGGGGAGGAGGGATTTGACACAGGGTCTTGCTACACAGTTCAGGCTGGCCTCAAACTTGCAGCGCTCCATCTGCTTCAGCCTCCCAAGAGCTGAGATTATAGGTGTCCACCGCCCAGCCTGGCTGAGATGGACGCTTCTGAACAGGTAAATGATGTGAAAGGGGACACCAGAGGCAAAGGGCCTGCAGGGGACACCTGGATGGCTCTCCTTGAAAGAAGAACAGTCTCCAGTTTGGCTGAGCCTGGCCCTGATTCCATGTATGGATTTGTGCAGACAGAGCTGGCTAGGACGTTTCCTCATCCCCTCAAGTGGCTCTAAGCCCTGCAGAGGGCTGCAGCTGAGATGCTGCTGTGTAGTCCTCAGAGCAGGAGCACGGGGCAGCGGAGGCCCGCCGACAGCTCCCAGGTCATACCTGTGAGCGAGGCCTTGTGTAGCCACGTTGGCGGCTGGACCCAAACCTTGAGGTAAGCGGCTAGGGCTTCTTTTGGCAGAACCGGGGATTGAACGCAGGCCCTTGCTCTTGCCAGGCAATCGCTTATTCTACTGAGCCATCTCCCCACCCCCCAAAAGAAAAATTTAGACACAAATACTATTCACAGTGGGCCGGGGAGATGGCTCAGTGGAATAAGCGCTTCCCTAGCAAGTTCAAGGGCCTGAGTTCAATCCCTGATTCCAAAAAAACCCCCAAAACTATTCACAACAGATTACTCAGAAAGGATCACCGTAAAATGAAAAAACTACACAGCTCCAAGACCACCACACAGAAGAAAACCCAGGTCATCCTGAGCTTGGTGATGGCGGTGATGGCTTTTTAGGCTCCAACCAAGGCACGATCCATGAGCGAGAGGAGCGATCAGCTGCCCTCCCCAGGGGTCACACACTTCTGCTCCACGGAAGACATTCTCCAGAGAAAAGGCAAGCTACAAAGT